TAACTCTCGAAGACATTAACTGACTGCGGACCAGCAGGGTTTATATAGCTTTCAGCTTGTGTTCGAGAACATTCTGGGCTAAACCGGTAAGAATTCGTTCCAGAAGGTTCTCCATCAGTCCATGGCATATTGCCAATTTTGTTGCCAAACGGGCAATTTTTCGCCAAATGTGGCAACACTGCCTTCCCTTGTCCATTTTATGGCAACCCTAAAACTGCTTTGCGGGGAAGCCATCTCACCGCGCCTGTACATTTCGTAACAATATATATTCAACGCATTCCTGTGATTTTCCCTGACGTTTCACCTAGGCGCTAAGTGACTGGTCTTCTCGAAAAAAAAACTCTTTCTATGCGTTAGCCCATCACAATGGATGGACTCTGGAAAGTAATGGAGGAGGAATGGAAATGAATATCTTTGAAACTTTTATGCAAAACCTTTCTATTTTGGAAATCACTATCTGAGAAAAGAGGCTATCAGATCTAACATTAAAAAAATATCCTTTACATATTAAACGTTTCATTAAATGGCATCGAAATTGTTCTAAAAATGTGTAAATACCCTCTGTATATCATAAATCGATTTTAAATCAATAGCCTAAGTTCAGGCTTATTTTATGATCATAGTGAGATCACATTGAGCCCTTTCACCAAACTCTATATTGTTCTACAAAAATTCTTCAAAAAAGAAGAAGGGAAAATGTTGTTGTTGCTAAGATTACACTACTAAAATTTAAGCATACTTATTCATAAGTCCAGGAAATAGTAAATTTATCCGTATAATATTTTGTGTTTTACTGTTTGTTACGGTTCATTCTATTATTAATTCCGTTATTATTATTATTCATATATTCTATTTTGACAAGATTTAGAGAATCTGGCAATACAGTTTAGAAAAAGCGAATTGAAATGAACTGAAAAATGTGCAGTAACAAACTTGATATAACTTGATTGGCTAAATTAATATTGAGAAATTATGTTCTGTTCTGATAAGAAATGTAGAGGGTGTTTACACATTTTTAGAGAGATTCCGAAATCGTTTATTTAATGTTTAAAATGCGAAGAGCATTTTTTTAAATATTCGATTTGATAGTCTAATTTCTAGATTTTAAGTCTGCATCCTGATTTCTATGACAGAAGAGCTTTTCGTAAAACTTTCAGGAGTATTGATTTCCATTCCTCTTTCAGTACTTTCCAGAATTATCGTGGCGGATTAAAGAAAGAGCTCTTTTCAAGAGACCAAAGCCACAGTAGTCCATAACTAAAACTTCAGAAGACTTCGCATGCGAAGTATTCCCGGCTGGAATACTTTGAAAATGTATATAAGTAATATCTGTATCAGTCTTCGTTTCTTCAACGAATGCAGTGGTACTTTTCAAAGTATGACTTGAAACTTCTCAGTAAGAGTTTTATAAAATTTCTATAAACCATTACACAGAAACATTTCTATAGAAAACTGCTTATACATTTTTATAGGAATATCTGTAGAGTTTTGTCATCCTCTATCAAAAAACTTCATATCGGTGATGGTGTGAAGCTTATTGCCATCGACGAGAATTAAGATATTATTAAATACTTAATTACCCTTTGTTACGATCAGGAACGAAACGCTTTCGATTATTCGCAATATAAAATTGTACACGAATTCCGTAAATAGAATTGTTTAAGTTATTATTTTCATGAAGCTATATCGTAAAATTATTTTCGTTCCTTTGGTGCATTCTTATGATATTCATTTTGAATAAAAGCTTATAGTAAAAAAACTTTTTTACTGTATTTTATTTTAGTCTTTTAGTCTAATTTACTCGTCTTCAGTGATGAAATTTTTAGTCGTTATTAAAACACAAGCTATAAATGATAAGAAAATCATGAAATAAAGGAAACTAGCTGAACGGTTTTTCAGATAATGAGGAAATCGCTTTGAATATTCAGTTTCGGAAATTGGATATACTAATTATGTTGAAACGAGCATTTTACCGGAAAGTAAAATGAAAAACTAATATCGACACTTCGTCATTAAATGCGCCCAGATGGCAAACTGAACACCTTTTTTCCTCCATCTGCTATGTTTTAAGAAAATGCTGAAAGTGCTTCAATTAATTTTTTTAATTATTATTCTTGTTTTAAAACAGGGCGAAAAGTTTGTTTTATAAGCTGCGAAAATTCCTTTTAGAGGTTGAAATTTTTATATTGTTGTTGTTGTTTCTGTCGCTTATCTTACTTGTCTGATCAGAACATCAGAACAAGCCCACGAAGTTCAACGTGGCAAAGAGTGCGAGACTGCGTGTGTTGTTGGCAAGAGCCTTGAGCACCATTCAGGTTACAGTGTGATTTTGCTCAGTTTCGCCCCCAATTTTGATCGATGACGTCCTGCCGCACCATGCAATTACGCCATGCCGCACCGACACTATACATTTAGAAACATCCATGCCTTATCCGAGCCTTTCGGCACAGCAGTCTGCGACGCTAACCACTATACCGGTTGGGAGGCAATCCATTAATTTAGGCAGTGCTATTTTTAAGCTAATATCATACTGTTCACTTGAAGCAAAACGTGATTCCAGTGTGTTTCCTTCAAGAGTCTTGTAACTCGGCAACCTTTTCTAAATTATGTCGTCCTATCTAGCCCTTCCTGGGCCTCAGCCGTGGTGCACAGAACGTAGATTTTTCCTTTAGAGCACAGACAGTAACAGCTTAAGCAGAGCAGACCGGTTGTCTTTATGGAGATGCAGAAGTGCAGAGCAAATGACTTAACAAATTATCAAAAGGACATATAAGGAAACGAATTCAGATTTTACATTTATTTTTGCAATCGTATTGCTATCTCTTTTTGCTTTGTTTTGTATTGTTTGCAAAATTTTCAATGACAGTTTAGAGGTTTATTTGATTTTTTGATTTCTCCAGTTGTTATTATGTACACAGTATAAAAAGATTTCTTAAACGTATACAGAGATTTCTTAAATACAAAATAAACATTTGTAGCTCTTAAATATTTCTTCAATGTTATTTATTTATAAAAAGCTTCTTACAACTAATAACACTTGGAGCGACTGAGAGGAAAATTCTCAGTAGTATTACAATATCTGGAACTTCATTATGAGGTTGTATTTTAGAATAAACAGCAAAATTACAAAGGACGGTCCTTCCACGTTCTTGTTTTGTTTTTCTTAGCAGTAACGGAAATAAAACTCTGAAATACTTCCCTCTTAACGAGGAACTCTTCATTATTAATGTCATAGTCAACATAACTGAGCCATTATTCGTAATTTACAATCCAAAGTTTTGAAGGAATAAAAAATACATAACAAGTATAAATTTTGTGGTGAATCTTTGAATACTTCATCTACAGGTGAACAGGTGAATGCAGGGTCGGATACCCAAACCGCTTTTTATGACAAATCGGGTATCATCCTGTACCCGAAACTATCTACCATGTTTACTCGTATTATAGTCGTATTTTTCTTTGCCAGTTTTTCATTGTGAAAGTCTAGGTGAGACTATTATGCGGGGAAATCTATTAAACAATACTGTACACTTTTGACGATTTTTCCTGCTTCAAAATTGGGGGTGCGACTATTCCACGAGGGTGACTATTACACGAGTAATCACGAGAGTTGATCCACACACGCTCGGCTTCCAATAACGGCAGCATCTGGAGTTTATTGACAGTAATAACTACACATACAATGGTCAGAAAAGTGCTGCCACAAAACGTTAGATTTACATAGGTTCAGGTGTTTGAAGCAAAAGCGTACATATACTTTTGGGTGAAGGAGGGTGGTGGTTTTAATCTACAGCAAAAACCATTTTTTTTCTCTATTTAGTTCCACACGATCCACATGACTAACCTCTACAAAATAATGTTTCATGTAAAAAATGCCGCCCTTAAAAATGTGTAGCCCTCTCTAGCTGCACCATGGGGAAGGTGTCTTTTTATGTATTTATTTACTAACTGAAGTACTCGGCTTTGCCCGGACATTGCGCAAATTGTAATGATTTACGTATGAGAATGGTGATGGTTTTTTCGAAATCTCAGGTAGACAATGATTTTTCTCTTATTTAGGTTTAAAGTGAAGAAAGCAAAAATTTACCAACCTCGAGTAAGATTGTTGAACGGTATAGAACTAGGACGTTGCCATGCGTCGGTTTTAGTAAGAACTGATACTTGCTTTGTTATCGGTTATTCCCCTCCCCCCCGGAATGAGCTTTGGGAAAACCACCATCCACTCTGGACGATTTCTTTTGCATATTCTTTTTTCTACCGTTTTCGAAATATTGGTAAAATACTAATAGAGTTTAAAATTTAAACTCTAACGTATAGAGTTTAAACAGACAGAAACTGATAGAGTTTAAAATTTAAACTTTATCAGTCAGCCTGCCTATTCACTTGGTTTTGCACTGTTCTGGAAAATTCTGCACTGTTGTAAAGAGTAAACGAATGCGTTATTTAACGGTTTAAGGAAAAAGTGGCAGCGGGAACGCAACAACTTTAGAGTGAATGTACGATGCGTAAATGTTAATGTGAACATAATTTTTTGGGGGGGGGGTAAAAAGCCAAAACAAATTGGGGGGATTAGCAGGTGTGAGTGGAAGAACAAACTGGTAGACTGCGAGCTTAACCAGAGCGTTAAAAAAACTTCAATAATCCCTTTATTTTACGACCGTTAAAATCTGAAAAAGTTTCCGAATTCCCCCCTTTTTAATTTGCATAATGAACATATTTACCCTCATATTACTATTTTTTTTAAACACGTGTAAGTCTTTTAACACATGCAGCAAAAATATAAATAGATAACAATATCTCTTCATTTAAAAAATTAAGCAAGTAAAGCATCGAAAAAGAAAGGATTTCGATAATAAGCTTCTAAGGTGATTGAAAACTAGATATCTTGAATTGCAAAATAAACACTGAAGCAGTTCACTCGTTCAGGGAAAGATTCTTGTAGTGTCACGTGCTGTGTACTTTGCACGTTGCTGTTTTTATCAGCGGACTTCTATTTCTGATTGTTTTTGACATACATAACTTATTGGTTTCTGACGCCTCCAGCGGTAATCACAACATCCTGCTGCAGAAATGTAACGATGGTTATAAAAACTGCTGTTGCTACTGTTATAGATTACATATACCGATCTATCCGATATTCTATAGATACTGTTATCTACATCTTAATAATAGGTAAGCAAGCTTTATTTACAACTTTTTGTCGTTTCATCACCCTTAACGAAAATGTCTTACAGAATTCTATAAAAAATATAATGTTTAACTTCCTTAGCACATTTAGAATTATAGCTCAATATTCAATAAACTGATCACTGATTTTTCTCATCACTGAGTCACAGATTTTCTGTTGAATTCTATAATTTTCGATATAAATTCTATAGAATTATATAGGGAGATTAAGTAGAGATATCTGTAGATACTGTACATAGATTTGGGCACATATTCTATAAATATTTGTATAGAAATTCTAAAGTATCCACATAGCGAATGCTATACAAAATGTTACATAGAGAATGTTATATGAGATGTTTATATAAATTCTGTGTAAAGAATCCCATGCGAAAATATTTTATAGAATTCTGTAAAAAATCTAATATTGAACTTCTTTGAAATCCTTTAGAATGATGCCCCAGTTTTCTATAAACTAGGTTAGAAATCTTCTATAGAATTCTATAAAAGTCTAGATACAGTTTCTGTAGTTTTATATATAGAGATTCTTTAATGTAGATGTTCTGTTGAGATTTGTGCAGAGATTCTATAAAAATTTGTACAGTTCCTAAAATTTCTACGTATAGAATATGCATAGAATCAATTAATAAAATTCTACTGAAAATATGGGATCTAAGATAAGGGGGAAGAAAGTAAGACTTTACAAGACATTTCACTTAATATGACAGGTTTAGTACCTTATTATATGGAATTTTGAGAAAGCCATCTTAAAAACTCTGAAGGTGTTCAGATTTTAACCACTGCTCAAGAGGGATGTTTTAACGTTTCGTATGGTTTATCACTAAAGATTATCGATAGAAATGACAAGATGGAAAAGCAAAACATTTTTAAAATATTTAATATTTTTAAGTACGAAGAATAAAATTATGTCTTCCATATACATGACAAACATTTATTTAAGCTATGAAGACGTTGACAGCAGAGTAGAAACATGATATTACACAGCGCTTAGCACTTCTCGCTTACATGTGATACTTACCATTGACTTTGGCTGACTGCCTAGAAAAGTATTACGCAGTAGATAACTTGCTTATCATGCGCATGCGCTAGATCATCGGCTGATACTTACCATTGACTTTGGCTGACTGCCTAGAAAAGTATTACGCAGCAGATAACTTGCTTATCATGCGCATGCGCTAGATCATCGGCGGTTGCCAACATACCCCCTTTCGACGTTGATTCTCCTATTCCTGAAAAGTAAAACAAAATACATATTAAACAGTATTCAATCCTATAATTGTACAACAGTTTTTATGTTTAACAGGAGTCAAGGGTTTGGTTAACACATAAGCCTCCCTTTCACTGGTCGGTATGTACTGTACATCTAATTCATCGCGTTCATATACTTCACGAACAAAATGATGGCGAATGTCTATGTGCTTTGTACGGAAATGAAACATTGAGTTCTTCGTAATTTTCTGAGACCCTTGATTGTCGCAGTATATTGTTGTTGGGTTTTCTATGTTGCAACCCAGCTCCTTCAGGAAACGACGTAGATAGACGGTTTCTTTGGCGGCCTCTGACAAAGCCATATATTCCGCCTCCGTTGAAGATACAGCTACACTGCGTTGTTTTCGTGATTCCCAGGTTATGGCTGAACCACTTAATATGTATACAAAACCTGTGTAGGATTTTCGATCATCGACATTTGATGCCCAGTCTGCATCCACAAAGGCGATGAGTGGTTTTCCTGTTTTCGTATAAATTAGTTCTTGATCTTGAGTTCCCTTTAGATATCGAAGTATTCTTTTCGCAGCATGCCAATGTTCTTTTCCTGGATTGTTGTTAAATTCACTTAAGAAATTCACGGCGTATGTGATATCTGGCCTAGTAGCTACTGAAAGGTACATTAGTGATCCGATCAGATTTCTAAATGGAACATTTTTCATGTCAGCGATTTCGTTTTCGTTTTCAGGACTCATCTCTTTTGATAATTTTTGCTATTATCTGTAGGTGAAGACAGGGATTTAGCATTTTGCATATTATACCGATTTAAAATATCATCAATGTATTTCTTTTGAGAAATTTTAATTGAATTCTCATTTTGGTAAAACTGTATGCCTAAGCAATAATGTAATTTCCCCAAGTCTTTCATTTTGAAAGCAGAAGCTAAACTATCGCGAATTGCTTCATACGTTTTCTTAGAATCGGTAAAAACGATGAGATCGTCTACATAAACGATTATAATATTTTCACTGTAAGACGTCTTTTTAATATAAACGCAATTATCTGAATAAAGAGATTTAAATTTCATAGATTTTAATTTTTCATCCAACTTTTTGTACCACTGAGGACCTGACTGTTTAAGACCGTATAATGATCTCTTTAAAAGACGCACTTTATCTGAATTAGTTTCATCGCGAAAACCTTCGGGAATTTCCATGTAGATTTCTTCATGTAAATTTCCATTTACATAGGCCATTACAAGATCTAATTGCTAATTCAGAAGTCAAACAACAAAAATCAGCGTTATATTTACAAAATTTTCACAAGACTAGTTTCGATAGTTTTACCATCGAATCATTATTTCCTATCTTGTTCATTTGCGGTTTTGCAGCTGAGGATGGTGGTTCGGTAAAACCATCGAAACTAGTCCTGTGAAAATTTTGTAAATATAACGCTGATTTTTGTTGTTTGACTTCTGAATTAGTATTTATTCGGCGTGTTATTGTGTCTTAATTATAGAAGCCCCAAACAGGCTTATTTTGGCTTTCTTTTTTTTGCACGTGGTGTGGCCGCCATTTTGTTATTGCATGAGTTTCGGTAAGTACTTTTTTGCAATTTTCAAGTTATGTTTATATTTTGCATATTTGGATATTGTGCTTTGCTTGTCTGATTTCATGCATTTTGCTTACAAACGTTTTGTTTTCTATTAATTTCAGTGAGGGATTTTTCTGCTGTTTTGTGTGTGCTTTATTATTGTTTAGTTAATTTAGTTTGATTTTCTGTATTGTTTATCATGCCTTCATCCGTTAATCGTTTCACTAAATTACGCCTGAAACGGCAAAAATTCCTGAATCATCTTGACTTTTTACTTAAATGTAAATGTAAAAAATTGATCCCCAATTTTATTCAAATCAAATCTAATCAAAAACCTTCGAGTCGCGTTTCAAGAATTCTGTTAAATTGCAAGCTTGCCTTACTTCGGTCCGTCATAAGGGATACACGTCAACAATTGTCCAAAATTGAACGTGAACTCTATAAGCTTCATCTGGAACTCGCTAAATCATATCCAAAATTCACTGCCCTTGAACAAAAGTCTTGGTCTAGAACGGAGAATGCAGTTAACCGTCATAAAAAAACCCTTGCAGTTAAATTCGAAAAACTTCTTTTACAATCTTCCAGTTCAAGTAGTTCAAAAATCTTCCCATTGTAAACATCAAGCCAATCTTATAATAATAAAAGCAAGTGTAACCTGTTCGAGCTCTCCAAAATCTTCGCACGCCCTGGAATTTTTTACGGAAGCAAAGCTTCGAAATTCGATTTTTGATTAGAAAAATTTTAAAAAAATAATTAATTAAACGGTTTTTTTGACTCACTGATATTATTATTTGTTTTCAAATAACTTCGATTGTAACAGATTTCTTTATTCTCGTTAGTTCTTGACGTAAAGTTCAATTCAGTAGTTGTAAAAATCTTCCCATTGTATTCAAACAATCAAGCCAATAGTTAATATTTCTAATGTTAGTCTTTCAGAAGAACAAGAGAGAGAATAATTCTAAAACCTCTAAACAAAGAATTTTGGCTCCTATCGAAAAAGCTTTCAAGTTCAGTAAAGTTTCAGATTCACAGAAAGAAATGATTAGGCATCTTATCGCTCATAATGTGAAATTCAATAATAAACCTTTGAAACCAAATCTAACTGCGAGAGAAAGAGCTACACATTGCGTGAAATTCATTCTAACCCGGATATTATTATTTCAAAGGCCGACAAAGGTGGCCAGATAGTCGTCATGGATATAGGAACACTTACATCGATGGTGTCACTAAACTCTTAAACGAAGGACCATATAATCCGATCCCTAAAGATCCTTCACCTTCGGACTTGTCAAAAATAAAAACTGCGATCAAATCTTCGCAAATCATTTCAGGCAACTTAAAACATTCACTTATCCCATCTGTTGCGAATTGTGCCAGATTATATGCTCTTCCCAAAATTCATAAAAGTGGTATTCCTTTCCGCCCTATTGTATCAAATTTAGGTACTGCCTCGTATCCATTAGCTAAATATTTAGTTTCTAGATTTTCAACTCTATTAGACAATAACATTTACACCATAAAAAATTCAATAGAGTTTGTAAAAAAAGTTAAAAACATTTCTCCTAGTAATTTACTCATGGTTTCTTTTGATGTAAAATCATTATTCACCAATGTCCCAGTGGAGGGTGCATTAAGATGTCTAGAAACCAGACTTCGCGAATTTCATTTCTCTTGCATCGAAATTGATGAGCTAATTTCTCTCTCACTCAACTCTGTTTGAAACAAACACATTTTGTTTTCCAAAATAAATATTACAAGCAAACTGAGGGATTAGCCATGGGAAGCCCCCTCAGTCCCATCCTGGCTGATATCTACATGCATTATTATGAATCAAAATTGTTTGAAACTTTAAACTTCCCGGCATGGTTCCGCTACGTAGACGATACTTTTACTCTGTTTGAAGGTAATAAAGATGATTTAAATAAAGTTCTTTCAACAATGAATTCTATTGATCCTGCTATTCAGTTCACTTTTGAACTTGAGACTTGCAATTCTCTTCCGTTTCTCGACATTCTGGTCACACGTAACACATCCAACTTCAGTACTACGGTTTACCGTAAACCTTCATCGGTTTGCCTTCCACCACACTTTAAATCATGTCATCCGACTAAACAAAAGTTAGCTTCATTTTATTCCTATGTTTTCCGTGCTCTTCAAGTTTGCTCCTCCAAACTAGCCCTTGATGA